CGACCTCATCAACGACCTCACCAGAGTCAACGACGTTATACAACAACCGCTGTCGAAGAAGCAGCGATTCGGCAAAGGCGCCGAACAAACCCCGAAAGGGAAAGGAAAAGGATATCAGCAGAAGTGGTCACCTCCAGGACAAGGACGGCGATATCGACAACCCTGGTCCAATCCGACCACACAATGGCGCTCATGGCAACCTTCGACACCTACGTGGACTACACAGGCCATGTCTTCTTGGCAAGCCACCCCGACACAAGCATGGACATCTCCTACGACGCCGACTTTCTTTACTCCGACACCATCACCGACCCTGCCACTGAACCCGGCTCCTCATGTATCTCAAACACGACCTCCTTGGAACGCGAAGGGAGACAAAGGCTCGAAAGGCGCCGGCAAGAAGGGCAAAGCCGGTAAGTCCGGCAAGAAATAGGGACAGCACGGCCCAGGGTCTGCCGACCCTGGAGCCGACCATCGACCGACAGAGTTACACGACCGAACTTGTACATTGTGCTACGAGCTGGTCGGCACCTTACCGGTGGTGCACCTGTCCTTCTTCGATGGTATCGGGATTGCCTCCGAAGCACTACGACGAATCAATGGGCACATCCTCCTGACCCTTTCTTGGGAGATCGACCTCGAATGTGCACAGTTTACCTCACAACACTTCGGATCCATACAAATGGGGGACGTGACACAGTTCGACATCGAGTCCGTCGCGGAGCACATCGATGCTGCTACTCTCCATCAACAATACATAATGGTGATAACCGCTGGACCACCTTGCCCCGATTTTTCGAACTTGCGTCACCGACCCCCAGGCTCCGAGGGCACATCGGGTTGGCTTTTCAGTCACATGGTGGGCATCGAACACCAACTCCGAAAACGCTTCACTGGCATCGCCATTGAAACGATCTTCGAGAACGTGGTCCCTCACCCGGATGTTCACGACAACTTGCTTGAGCTCACATCGCCACTGAGTATGGACCCCATAGTCGTCGATGCAGCCGACGCCGGAATCATGCACCGGAAGCGGCTGTGGTGGACATCGATCCCTTGGAACATCATCGAAGAACGCCTTCCACGACTCACACCTTGGTCCTTGGACTGGAAACTCGAGGGAACAATGGCACCGACTCCACAACCCGATCGCTAAGGAATTGCAGACACACATCAAGACGAAGGACTACTCCCTTCCCCCATGCCTCCATAGCGACAAGAAACTTTTCCATTGCTTGACTACACCATCAACATCGACTACGGGCCGAGATCCGCCTACACATCTCCGAGATCGCTCGACTTCACATGACGCGTGGCAACGATGGGAACAGGACAATCGTCGATACCCTGTGTGGCAGTACGAGGAGCAGTTCTTGGTGACACTACCCGATGGCACATGGTCTACCGCACCCGCCACACTTCGAGAACAACTTCAGGGTCTACCGCTGGACTACACCGCCACACTCGCCCAGGGCGACGAAACCAAACGATGCGTTGCTTTGGGCAACTCTTGGCATCTTCCCACGGCAGTTTGGATCATGTTCCTGCTGCTTCTCGGGACCGTCAACGCGACCATCCCCGACACACCACGATCTTCGGCTCTCCAACAGATTACTGCCTTGTGGCTACACCACAAAGTCCCTTTCGGTCCTCCTCCACGTTCCACGACACACAACTACATGCCTCAGTTCTCCTGGACAGAACACCTCGATTGGGCACTTCATCGCGATACACACTTGGCCCCGAAGACGCTGGATCCTACCCTCGAGTGGTGCTTACAACATCGACATGTGTTTCACCCACTCGTAGATTTCCAGAAAGCGATCATCGCCGACATCCGCGAGCTCGTCGAAGACATGGAGGATCACACCATGGCCTGGTATCACACACTCCCAGAACACGTACAACGAGCATATCGACACAAGGATTCAGTCACACAGATCCCAGTACTCGTTCACTTACTACGACTGATCCAATACCCACAAACAGAGCTGATATATCGCGAACTCTCCGAAGGTTTCCCCTTGATGGGCAAGTTGACCCCAGGCATCAACTGGCACGTTCGACAGGACCTTAAATATCTCGAACCCACACCGATCGACGAGTTTGGTGACAAGAACCGACAGTACATCCACGACAAGATCGAGAAGAATTCCGTCGACGAACATTGGGAACTGATGCTGGATGAAATCCTGGCCGAAGTCGACATGGGACGCATGAACGGACCGTATCAAGCCCCCGACTGGTGGCCCCGTGCTGCCACGGTACCACCAAAAGGGAAACATCGAACCCTGTTACCACTACCACACTCCGATCCCTACATCGCCATGGCTTTCAGCATCGAACAGACCGGCAGCGACGGCAACAACAAAGTCCGACGAGGCGAGGATTGGCGCCGGAGTGGCCACAATGCGACCTGCACCATGCACGACCAACCGTACCATCACACACCCGACCACTTTATTTCCTTGGGACTCGCTACACTCCGAACCGATCACTCGAAACCCTTGTCTGTTTGGGGACATGACCACGACGGGGCTTATCGCCAACTTCCACTTCGTGATCCTCGAGAAGCCTATGTGATGTTGTTGACCCCGGACGGCCCAACGCTGTGGAGCCACAATGTCCTTCTTTTCGGATCGGCCGCAAGTGTCTGGTCTTACAATCGATTCGGCGACATTCTCGTGGCCTGCAGCCGAACGATGATCTTGTCTCCGGCCATGCACTACGTCGACGACTACGGATCCATGGAAGACTCCGACCTCGCCAAAGGCAGCTTCGAGTCCTTCGAGGAGTACAACGGATGTCTCCAGATATCGATGAAGCCCAGTAAACGTCAACCACCGCAAACAGCACATCGTATACAAGGAGTCATCATTTCATCCGACGACAACAACTTGGTCCTCACACCTTGTCCAAAGAGAGTCGAAAACATGTGTAGACAAATCGACACACACCTGACTACTTCGTCACTGTCCCCCGAGCAAGCCAGGAAGATGGCCGGGAAGTGCAACTTCCTGACTGGGAGACTATTTGGCAAGGTGGGTCGAGCGGCCCTGAAGGCACTTTATTCTCGAGCTCACTCCTATTCACATGCCCTCGACAAGCCCACACGCTCATCACTACTCGCCCTCAAGGACATCATACAGCACTGCCGACCAATGACGATACCACGCACACCGACCAAGCCGACATACAGCGTCATCTATACGGACGCATACTTCCGGCTTGGCTCCACCATCTACAAGCCGGGAGACAGCGACATCCCTAATTGGGACTCAAAGTCGACGTCCGACATCGAAAACGGCTGGGCGGCGGTTTGCTTCCACCACGGTGACGTGCGAACCGCCGCCTACTTCCAGGGTCGTCTTCCTTCACTACTTGTTCGACAGTTTGCCTCCGACCAGGCCTTCATCTACCTTCTCGAAGCATGGGTAGCGATACTGGCACCGTTGGTCTTCGAACCGTGGCTGGATCAGTTCTACGTTCAATGCTGTGACAACGAAGCCTCCCGACACGCCCTACTCAAGGGCGTCGGCAAACATCAACCTTTGAATTGCCTCATTGCGGCACATTGGACTTGGCACAATCGACGCAGTATTGCACATCGACTTGAGCGGGTACCCACCAAGGCGAACATCTCCGACGGGATCAGCCGCTTTGAGAACGTTCCGGAGTCTGAGAGCTGGACTAAACTCGATTTACCTCTTAATGCACTGACGAGTAGAGCTGCGAAGATCATAGGAGATATCCATTTTGCTTCCTCGACGGGTTTTTCCGACTTACCCGAAATTCACCGATTGCACGACCATTTGCTTTCGATGTTACGCTAATGTTCTTTCGAGTGGCGTTCGCCTGCGATGGGAGGACGCGACCACACTCGATGGGAACCAGTCGGTCCTCCCAGCGGAAGGAAAGATCAACACCGATCTGTAAGATCGACTACTTCGATCTGTAAGATCGAAGCGCAGACTTAACGCCACCGAAGCGGAAGCAGTTGGAAAACACCTCCGCTGAAGCCAGGGATTCATGGCCTTTGTGTGAGAATTTCGTTGTCGTGTAGCACACACTTGTTTGTGCGAAGTGACAACTTCATATCTCACTTAAACACCGAATCGGTCAGGGGATTGACTCACCGATTCATGTCGAATGATTGTATACTCCGTGGCCATTTTGGCGAAAGCTGTTACAGCTTGAGCGAAATTTTGTTTCACCCACCCGTCCCGACCCTCTTCGATATTACTTTAATTTTCCTCTGCTTCCTGTCTGCGAGAACCGCCTGGGAACCAGTCGGTCCTCCCAGCGGAAGGAAAGATCAACACCGATCTGTAAGATCGACTACTTCGATCTGTAAGATCGAAGCGCAGACTTAACGCCACCGAAGCGGAAGCAGTTGGAAAACACCTCCGCTGAAGCCAGGGATTCATGGCCTTTGTGTGAGAATTTCGTTGTCATAATAATAACTAGTAGTCCGACACGAACGAGACACTTGATGATGGCACGGCAGAGAGAGAGAGAGTCCGACACGAACCGAGAGACCTCGCCTGGCGAGTCCGAGTTGCGTGAGCGTAAGTACTGAGTCCCAAGCCCTAAACCCTAAAATATCTTCAGCTGGGCGGGTGGCAAAAAAACATCTGGACCCAAGCCGCAGCGCCCAGAGTCATGTTTGTGTCAACTTTGCATTTCACAAGTTTCGCCATTTTGCATTAACTGCAGCACGCGCAGTATTTATTTCCACTACTGTGCGGCCGACGTTTCGTCTTTGCTTTTCGAGCCGTGCCGTGCTATGTTGCTCGCTTGAAACAGTGATATTGGAGGACTGAGAAGGAAAGGCCAGGGATGCAGATTTTGGTGGCTTCGGGCATGGACGTGGAAAGCTTCGGCATCGATAGACGCTAGCGATGAGCACAGAATTGCAGCATAAGCCTAAAGACTTCAACTGATGCTACAAAACCCTGCGCCCTAAGCCCAAAACTGTTTTTCTCGCCCAAAACTGAGCAATGTACCAGAAAGACCCTGAACTCCTGTATCCCACCAGTCCGGACTCCTATCCTCGACAGGTCAACGACTGCGTCAGTGTGAACGGGCGCCCAGGGATCGTAACCTGGGACGGACGGCCAACGCACCAATTCGCAAAAGTCAGATTCTAGGAGGCACTTTTGGACATTGTTCAATTTCCCTTATGGTCTCGTCGCTTCATAGTATAACACAAAGCGGCCATTCAATACAGCATATTGCCTCCAAGGGTCTTGTGGTGACATATATGGCGGGTCATCAGTCGCAACCCAGGATTTGAAGACGGCAAGGAAAGCGACGTCCTGCCAGTCTGCAGTCTACAGGCCATCAAGTCGCCAGTGGAAGAGGAGGCCGGGGTGCAGCTGTGAGTGCACGGTGGTCAAGAGGACACCGAAAATATGACTGCGGTCATCAAGTTTGTCATGGTCATGGTCAGACATGTCAGCAGCATGAGCCCGATGCAATGAAGTCACTCTCAACATCCTTCGACGACTCCGTACAGTAGCTGGGGTCATTCACGCCATGTGTTGGAACCAGCTAGAAATTCCCAAGTCTTCTGAAATCATGAAGCACGGCACGGCTCTGCGGCGCGAACCTACCGAGAGCCCACCACACCTAGCACGACGAGGCGAAGCGACAGATAGACTGTTTTCCTTCTGCTCTTCGGTTTGTTTAGGGTTCCCTTTTCGGAGTCAATCAACAGGTTCTAAAAGGGTTCTGTGGCTTCCATGAGGGTTCTTTTGCTTGTTTTCGAATCTACATATATTTTGTAACTGCAAAAAAGCTCCTCAAGAAGAGGCCCTCTTCACTCAAACACTTATACAACACGTCAAAAAGCTCTCATAAAACTTTTATAAGACCTGAACAATGTAAGTCCCAAACCCCGCAAAATCCTCTGTGGGGTTTGTGGCAATCTCTGACGTGGAAGCTGCAAGCAAGCCTTTTTTCTGCGAAGTTGCAGTTAAGCACGGAAACTGCCTGGCATGAGGCTAGCAGTAACAACTGGACATGGATCTTTCAACTGTTCTTTCTGACCAAACCCTACACTGCGGGCTCGTCTTAGCCAGGTTGGAGGCAAACAAAAGTTAGGGCCTTTGGAGACTTAAACTTAAGCAACCTAAACCCAAAAGCCTCAACCTCACAAACAATCTTGTTGAAGCCCGAAAACCTGAACCGCACCCCAGAGCCGAAGCCTCGAAAAACTCGGTCTGAAACCAAAAAGCCTGGACCGGCCTAAACCTCATAAAGAGCCTGGTTTGAGACCCCCCCCAAACAGCCTAAACATAAACCCGGCCCGAAACCTCTGAAGAACCCTACACCCGCACCCTAAAGAAGTTTGGAGGTTTTTGTGTCGGACTTCGATCTCGAGTCCCTTGAGCTCAGCCACCTCCTACGGCCAGGAACGGGAAAGACAGGGGGTTTAGGGTTTGGGGGTTGAGGAGTTCAGTGTTTAGGGGTTCCTATCTTCAGAGACCTGGATGCAAAGAGGGTTTCGGGTTTAGGAATAACGGGTTTAAGCAGAGGTTCTGCTGCTTCCCAGCTGATCGCAAGAGTCTGGGTTCAAAAAAAAGAGCAGAGGTTCTTGCAGGCCGGATGCCAAGAAAGGGTTTACAAGCAGTTTGGGGTTCTCCAGATTTAGGGTTTAAGGTTTAGGGATTTAAGGTTTAAGGTTTATAGAGTTTTGGGATTTAGGGTTTAAGGTTTAGGGTTTAGGAATGAGGGCCCCTCCGGTCCAGGAGCGACGAATGGCGCTGGCCCCAACGCTTCTAGTTTCGCTGAGCCTTGTCTTTGTAGGGACGTCTTTGATTCCAGGAAGTTTGGGATGTTGGGGGCTTGATTCTAGGGTTGAGGGATTGGAATTTGGGAGTCAGGGGGTCTCAGGTTTAGTGGTGGCTGGGTTTGGGGGTTTCGGGTGCAGGGTGCATTCTTAGAGTCTATGGTAGTGGGGTCAGGGATGATCAGGGGTATCAAAAGAAGTGTACGGAGGCAAGGGCTCTGGCCAGGTGACAAGTTTTGGGGCTTTGGGGGCCTGCAGCGAACTTCGTTGCAGAGCTCAGGACAGTCCCGCCTGTGGCACCATTGATGCTCCGGTGGGCATCGCACTGAGGTGGAGCATGGGTTTGCCGCATGTGAACAGCGCAATGGTCGAAGGGTTTTTCGGTTCACCCCTCGGATGCAATGTTCTGTCTTCGCCCTCCAGAGCAGGGGTGCTGGTCCGGTCCACGGCATCCCCAGCCCTCAGCCTTTAAATCCCAAACGCTCTAAAGCACCCTCTCCCGGAGTCGAAACAGCAAAGATTGCGTACGCTCTGAGCTCCAAAGCTCTAAAGGCGAGAGCAGTGTTTAGAACCCATGCAGAAGCCCTTGCCCGTGTTTCGGAGCTCCCTCTGGAGCCCTTCTTTGTTGCATCAAAGCCATCTTGCTATGTTGTTAGCATCATTAAAAATATTCTTTTGCTGGGTCTTCTTCTTATTATTGCAACTGTTCTAGCTCTCATATGTATTATTAGTATTTTGGTTTTTTAGTATTCTGACTACGGTTGATGATATAAATCCAGCACTACTCAGAACAAGGAATATGCCATAATTCCCATAGTTCAGGGTCCTTAAAGTATTGCAGGATGTACATCACCAACCTAAACCCCAAAACCCACCAGATCCCTTAAAGGAACCCCTTAAAGGTACCCCTTATAGATCCCTTTAAAAGAAACCCTAGGGATTTATATCATCAACCGTATTATGACCATGACTATAATAATAATAACAGAAACAATTATTGTTATTCTTCTTCTTCTCATGTTTTATTTTTCTTGCTCTTCGGAGGAGCTCGGAAGCGAAGGCTGCTCTGCAGGGACTCCGAGCCGGACAGGCGGAGGGTACCTTGGGACTTCCTTTCGAGCCGGAGGGTTTTGGGGTTTAGGGGTTTAACAAAAAGGGGTTCAGCGTTCAGGGTTTTTTGGGGGTTTAGGGTTTTAGGGTTTAGGGTTTTAGGGTTTAGGGTTAGTCGCAATAGGCCTGGATGCAAAGGGTTTAGGGTTATTTTGTTGCTGCCGGCCCCAACCGTCCGAGCCCTAAAGCACGAAGACTGTGCTTTAAATCCTTCATGGAGATGCAGAAGATGCATGGCCCCCTACAAGTAGCATGTGATTTGCAGGCTTCTGGTTCTAGCTAAAGTTAGGACTTTCAACACCGCTAATCCTGAATGCTAAGCTAAACCCAAATAGACCCTAAATCATGGTGATTGCGGTTGGGTTGGGCGATCCTCACAGCTTCCTGGCAGCTCGTGGAAATGAGCGTTACCCAGGCTTTTATTGCATCGGTGCCTGCTCTGTGCGAGCTGTTTGAGTCACAACCCTAAATCCCCCCTACACCCCCACTAGATCCTAAAGCCTTACAATCGGGAGGTCTGCTGGAGCTTCGGTGGCAACCGCCTGCCTTGGCCCGTAAAGCTTATCCAGGCGCCTTTGCCCCGCAAGTTAGACTCTGGGGGTTCAGGTTCAGGTTTCAGCTTCATTCAGAGAGACCTCATTCAACCAGAATTGCGCGTTCATTTGTCAGTCTCAGGCTGGATGCAAAAGGGTTTGGGGTGTCGGCCTAAAGATGTAGGGCTTACATAGTTATCAACTTATGGCATAAGGGCCTGTAAGAGTCCTAGAATCGATCGGTGTGGTGTGAACCGAAACTTACACTGACCTCCCGAATTTATCCCTAGAATTTGAAAACCAACACTTAAACTGTCTTAAATTGTTAACCCCTAAACCCCGCCTGAAGCCTAGACCCTGAAACCTTGGATGCTTAAACCCCTAAAAACCTCTAGCACCCTTAAAGCGCAAACCCTTAAGCCCTACTTAGAGGATCATGGGACTTAGTAAGTAAGGTTATAAGTACCCTAATTGGGGTTATAAGCAATTATAACTATACTTACCTTACTTATAACCCTAGTTACTAAGTCCCATGATCCTCCAAGTACCCAAAACGAAGCAAAGGAGTGCCCAGAGACGCAGACATGGCGAGTCCTGTTCCTGGGTGCAGAGTGGAGACTTGGCTTCTTGCGAGTCGCTGGTGGGTCACTTTTTGCAAAGGTATTGCTAAGGTTACGGGGTGTTTGGGGTTCAGGGCTTAGGGTCATCAAGTCCTGATTCAAAACGGGCTTATGCTCTAGAGCAAGGGTTGGGCTCCAAAGCCCAGCCAAGTCTGTGAAACCTGCAAGCTGCATCAGTCGTGTGTAGGCGTGTACATTCTGTTCAAGCTTGCGTAAGGGTAGACTTCAGGACGTGCATCCCTTCCTGAAGTTGCGCCGAAGCGCATATAGACGAATACATGCGAATGCTTTACATCCGAAAGGGCGTAGTTATTCTGCGCATGTATGTATATCTGTGTGTATGTAGACCCGTCTTCAGGTTGGATTTGATCTGTATGTGTGTGTGTGTGTGTGCATCGCTCTCTCAGTCTCTGTCTCTGTGTCCGTGCAAGTTGAGCTTTTGTGTCTGCGCATGCGCGAGGAGAGAGGAGAGCCTTTCGGTGGCATGCCTGCGGCCCTACGTTCAAGGCGAGTGCATTGGAGAGACAGCTTCATGAATCAAGAAGCTCTGGGTTCTCTGATAGTGCGTTGGAAAACCCTAGGACAAGAAGGCCTTGGGTTTGCTGTCGCAAGTGGCTGGCAGGAGACTTTGCAGTTTTGGCGGGCATCCTGCCCCTCGCGCAGGAAGAGCATGCGAAATGCGGTGCCTTGCCTTCACATTTCCTCTTGCTGTTTCGCCTGGGCGAAGCGATCCAGCACGAGTTGACACCATATATCACTTGCGTCTGCTATTCGATCTCCAAGGCTATTCTGACAAGACTTCGAAAGTTGAACAACATCTCCATAAATGAGACAACGTGTTTTTGTTTCTGTACGGCAATGTTTGGAATGGGAATGAATGGGGCAATACAGGGTTTTCGTTGCAGAGATCCTTTCGGGAAGTGGTCCAAATTGTCGCTTTGATTGACCGAGTCAGGCAACTCAGCTTTGGCTGCCCGACTCGTTGCATTCGTTCTGCCTCTTAACATAGGGGCCTGAATAATTACCAAGACTTTTTTTGGGGTCCGTATTGTATTTATGGTATCATGGGCTCCTACTCACAGCTGGTGCAAATCCCGTAGCTTCGTATACGGGGCACCTTTCTAGCAAAGGTGAAGCTGCTGAAGAGAAAGCACGAAGTGCATCTTCGGCATCTTCGGCCAGCAAAGACACAGTGACAGAGGCGGCGTAGGCTGAGTACCGGCGTATTCTTGGCAAAAAGCATTTGCGCTTGTGGTACCGGGTAGGCTTGCAAAAGCTCTGAACTTACAAACTGGCAGGTTACCAACCTCGGTCGTCACACTGGTCGATGGCGTGGTCGACGCAAACCCGGCTGTGCGTTGCTCCAGGTTTTGCAGCTTTTGCTTGAAAGCTTGAAGATGCCGATTGCTGAAAAGCACGATCGCCGCGTACAGACACTGTACGCCTTGCCTTGGCGTCGGTGACAGAGCTGTTGCATCGTAGCGGCGGGCTCAAGCGGCGTCCATGCCACACCTTTGGAGCCTCCTGCTGTTGAGGCGATCTTGAGCTGGTCCTATAGGTCCTAGGTACATATGAGACATGCAGACATGTAATGTAGATGAGAAGATAAGAAGACTGAAAAGGATTCAGGTCCTTCGGGCGGGGTGCGCCATCGGGAAGTTGCAGGCTTTCCGAGTAACACTTGGCCTCAGCAGGTCTGAGCCTCAAACGGACTCAGGGTAACCGCTGGATGACTGCCTGGCTTGTGCCTTGGGGCTGCTGCTGCTACTACTGCTACTACTACTGCTACTGCTATTGCCACTGCCGCTGCTACTGCCACTGCCACTGCCACTGCTACTGCTACTGCTCCTAATGCCCCAACTGCTCCTACTACTGCTACTACTACTACTACTACTACTACTACTACTACTGCTACTGCTACTACTACTACTACTACTGCTACTACTACTGCTACTGCTGCTACTACTACTGCTACTACTGCCACGCTACTACCACTACTACGACTGCTACTACTACTACTACTACTACTACTACTACTACTGCTACTACTCCTGCTACTACTACTACTACTACTACTACTACTACTACTACTACTACTACTACTACTACTGTTGCTTTCGCCCTGGCCCTGGCCTGAAGCTTCCAAGTTGCGAGCGGTAAAAGATGAAGTCGGCAGGATCTCATGTGGTTTGGGCAGCTGCTGAGATCATGGGCAATACTGCAGGCAGGTGCCCGGCTCTTCAGACATTGTTGCACTACTGACGGGTCACGGCGCTGAAGCCACACTCGGAATCGATCGCCTTGCCAAGACACTGGCTTTGGCAAACTCCCCCCCTGCGCAGAGGTGTTGAGTAGAGCTGCAGATCTAGACGACGAGGACCTGCAGCATGAATGTATCTCCCTTTGCAGCTTCGACTCAGTGGATGTTGGGATCAGGATCTCGGGACATGCCGTGATCGCCGTGATTCACTGTGCCACACTGTGTGCGTATTGCACCGCAAGTGTCAAAGGAGCTTGTATGACGTACAGTACCCCGAATACTCATGGGCAATCTTGGCAGCACGACGGCAAGACGAAGTAACTGGCTATTGTGACACCAGTGTTCACGACGACACCGTCCCGTTGCCGCTGATGCTGCTAGTGATGATGAAAGCACAGATGGTCATTGATGCTGCTCATGATGACGATGATGTTGATTCTCGTGCTGTGGCTGCTGGTGTCCATGACGGAGGAGAACAAGCGAATCACCCTCCACTCATAAATAACGAAAAGGCCCTACGTGGGTGTCGAGGAGAGACAGCATAAATAAATTGTGCCGACTACGCCTCAGAGAGATGGCGAGGACGATGCGCTCATCGTCTACGATGGAAGCGCCGTGGGCGGCGAGGCGCAGTGCACTGCGCCGCCGGGCCCTGTGCTGGTGAAGGACACTGAGCTGGCATAGTGCATATCGTATCATATCTCATGATGACTGTGTACATGTTATTTCTTCGCATCTATTTTATTTCATGGCACAAAGTTTTCCACTTTAGCATAAGCACATACATGTATATCATATCTTGTGTAATCTATTCATGCAGTTACACACATACAAATGCACAGAGCTTCGATGAGTTCTTTTTGAAAGCTCCTTTGCCATCGGTGCCGCGAAGACTTCCCATGGCTAACAGCTAACAGACATGTCTTGGCACTTGTGATGGTCATTAAGCTTGCTGTTCGAGGCACCGGTTTCAAAGAGCAACTTGTGAGTCGACATTCCGAACCGGACAGTGCGCGGTCACGTTGAAATCCACAGCTCGACTGCGTGATGCCCTCCAGGATCTCGTTGAGGAGATCGGGCACGATGTTGGCGAGGAGGCCGCTTAAGTTTAAGGGACCTTCAAGCATTCGCTCTATGATTCGACGCCGCAGTCGCTTACGAAATCCACCACTTCCAGCAGACACATACCGTTTGCTTCTGCTGCAGTGCTTATGGCAGAGATCGACTTCTGAGGTCATTTCACGAACTCTCCACGCTCTAGAAGCAGAAGGTGTGGTCGTTGTCTCAGACCTGCATTGGGGTTGCAATTGCTTTTGTCATGAGTATCTCGTCCGATCCTTTTGGCAGTCGGTTTCTGTCCGCAGGGGGCAGGCGCAAATCTCCGCATGAGGATAGGCCATCACATCTCTGGCCAGACTCTGGCACGTATCATCGTCACTCCCAGGTTCAAACCCGACAGCTCCTGCAGCTATACCCACAGGACTTCGATGCAGTCTCGCGGCTGATGTTCACGGTTCGAGGGATTCGGATCTTGGGCTCAGGCGCGGTGGGGGTGCAAGGTAGAAGGGATTGTGTGCAGCTGTTGCCAGGGCTTTTGGGTTCAGGCTGCCCAGGCTTGTCAGCTGGGTGCAGCCCAGGTGGTCATGCCACTGCTTCTCAAGAGCAGGCGGGGACTGTCAGACGTGTCTCGAGGGGCCCTTGACTCTTACAGTAATGTCAGTGACGTCTATGGTTTCCCGCTGGAGCATTCTTGGGCGTACGAGGGCGTCCAGTGCAAAAGCTGCAGGTTACGAAGAGTTCGCGAACGGGGTGGGCGAATTCCCGAGGCCGGGGCTAGATAGGGTCTACGCTGTAGTGTAGGGCTTACGGCTTACGATGGAGCATGCAGGTTTTGCGTTTCGGATTATCACTGCCTTTTTTGCAAGGACTTGATCGGCCACAAGAAGCCCAAGGCAGGCTGCGGGCAACATCCTGCCTGGTGAAGCGAGCAGTTGCAATTGCGAATGCAGCAATTCCTTCTTCAAGCACATAGTTGCAAACCAAAATATTTGTAAATATTTATGTATCTACCTATGAATACACATAAGTATATATATATATATATATATATAGATTATGGATGTAATAAGGTTTTCTCCGAAACTCTCAGAGCCTTGCGGCTTTGAGCCACAAAACTCCGGCTAGCCTCTTCGTCCAGTCCATAAGCCGTAGCTGCGCAGCTGTACTGTATGTGGAAGTCCGCTTTCAGGATGATGCTGAGGAAAGCTTGGGCCTTATCTCTTGCAGCATCCACCGCCTGTATATGTCTGTATTTCTGTACTTGTAGCATACAGTGCTCACTGCGGGCTTGGGCTAGAGTCTAGAGTAGGAAAAGAGCTGAAGGTGAGGAGCCGGCAGAAGACCAGGCAGCAGATGATGACAACGCAACTGTGCTGCATGAAGGTCTGAGCCGGTGGCTTGCAAGTTCCCTTGCAAACTGTCTAGCTGTCTAAGATCCTGTGATCCGCTGACGCTGAGCGCCTCCTTTCCATGCTTCACCGATCCTGGCAGCTCTGAAAGCATCCGTGTAGGTAGATGGCTGAAACGCGAGCCAGCTCCTACTCCGCGTGATTCCGAGTTGAGGAACGAACTGAAATCGGACAGAATCACCCCGACATCGCTCCTGCGACAAGGTTGAACTTAGTAAGATCAGCCGGCTAGCCCTCTGAAGTCGCACGTCTGTAGTTCTTGACCAAAGCTGTGATTCAACGAGTATTGCGTTCGAACTTGCTCTCGAGCCTTCAGAAGTAGCCCGAAATTCCAAAATCCTGCGTTGCTTGCCGTGGCTTGCGATGCGGAGCCAAAAATCCTAAACCCTGGCTCCCGACTGCGTTTGGCTTAGAGTCAGCGAGCACTTGAGCTCGCCAGATGTAAAAACTTCGCAGCCATTGGCTGCTGCCTTAGGCAAGCGCAATCAAAATCAAGCTGCTTCAGGCTTTCCGGTCCGGTTTTTTGAGTAGTAGTAGTAGTAGTAGTAGTAGTAGTAGTAGTAGTAGTAGTAGTAGTAGTAGTAGTAGTAGTAGTAGTAGTAGTAGCAGTAGCAGTAGTAGTAGAAGTAGAAGTAGAAGTAGTAGTAGTAGTAGTAGTAGTAGTAGTAGCAGTAGTAGTAGTAGTAGCAGCAGTAGTAGTAGTAGCAGTAGTAGTAGTAATAATAGTAGTAATACCAGTAATCGTAGTAATAGTGACGGCTCCAGCTGCCTGCAAGTACATGAGGTTCCCAGGCTGCGAGGTGAACGTCACGGAATTTCCGACAGTTATGGGACCCTTCTTTTGGTGGGATCCTTATAATAAGGATCCAACTATGTAAAGTACCATATTCGGGTCCCCTAGTTCGGAAACTCCCCCATATTTGTGCAACGCCAGAATACAAGCAACAACACACGGCTCGTGCCAAGTGTAGAGGCCTTCGTCAAGAGCTGGAGATGGAAGTTTTGAGGGGTGTGACTGTGGAGGAGAACTCGTGGTCTTCAGGGCCTTGATTTCGCGTAATCCCGAAACCCTATTCTAAATATTGAGGCCCCTCTATCAGAGGTGCTGCAGGATTTCGTTTTTCTTGCTTTCTCTGTGGATTGAGATTTGGCAAACTGTGCACCCCTGGATTATGAGGCCTTTCTGCTGAACCAGGTCCGTTTTTTTTCGCATGTGCCCACCGTGGGGTCATACGAGGGTGAATTGCATCTGCCAGGTGCTACCGACAAAGCCACAATCCCAAACAGACAAGGTGCAGCCAGCGGGAGGGATTTTCAGTGGGAAGTCGCGAGATCCAGAGCGACGGCGTGCATGCAAGAAGCTTAGCCAGCTCGCATGCAAGAAGCTTAGCCAGCTCATGTGTGTGCTGGCCAACGGTCACTGTCCGGCATGCCGCCAAGGCTCTACTTTTAATGCAAGGGCCTCGCAGGGGAATGGACATC